AAATTCAAATTATTTCATAACACTCCAAATATAGTTGCCATAATGAAAAAAGTATAAACATATTATTGTCACGTGCAATAATACTGTTCGACAACATTACTAATATTTTCAAACCCCCCAAAATACCTATTTACGGACTGAAGAAAATCAATGAAGCAGTGGTAAAATCTGTCCATATATACAAAATTGTATATTTTGGGATATACCAACTATACAAACTTGTATGTTTTGGAAATACCAAATATACAAAATTGTATATTTTGTATATATTGGAATTTTCCCTTGTGTAGTCCCCTATGGGGGAAATCAAAAGGGAAAGCCCTTGAAGATTTTATCTCAAACAATGATTTATGCATCTTCAATGATAGAAATACCACATATCTTCATCCTGCCACTGGCACATATTCTTCCCTCGACCTTTCACTGACAGATTCAAATATTTATAATGAATTCGAATGGTCGGTCCATGATGACCTTTGAGGAAGCGACCATTTTCCAACGATATTTGCAACTATTTATCCGTCTGACAAACCACTTTACAAAGAAAGCTGAAAAATATTTCCGACGACATCAAACTGTCCACAATTTAAATAACGTTAAAATCACGGGCGCTAAAACGAGACGTACCTTTAAACAGAATAAACGTAAATCCTGGAGGAACTGTGTTTCAAAAATTAATTCCCACACACCTATGTCCAAGGTGTGGAGCATGATTCAAAAGCAAAAGATTCGCGTAGCTTAATTTTATGCATGTGAGTGAGTGAGTGAGTCAAAATTTAACGTCGCATCGGCATTATCTCAGCCATATAGCGACGAGACCAAGCTAATATATATACAATTAAGTCATTTATGCAATGACATATTTAAAAACACTTTATCAAACATATTGGAGCATACTATATTTAAAAACAATTGATGAAACATATGAGCATTACAATATCATTAATACAGTTTAAAAAACAGGCTATAGGCCACCAGTAACCAAAGCTAGTCCACCTCGCTGGGGATCATGGGGACTTACAGTACTTCTGCTTCCTGCATGATACCCTAGCAGGATTTACGTCATCACTTTAGCCACTGGTGGTTGTGCACAATACTAGCCAATATTAAAAAATACTCATCAATGAGTTGGCTTAAAACACTGGTTGATGATAGTTACATCAATTACTATAGGATTACGTGTCACACAGGGGGACAATATTTTTACGCTACGTTAACCTCCTGGACAGAGCCTTTAATAATGTCAGTTGCTAATAGCATCACACCAAATTTAAAAACAAGCATTTAATTATTCACATACATATTTACATATTAAAATTTATTATACAGACCAATTTCTTTCAAGTAATTTATGATGAGATGCCCGCTGATACGGGAAAAGAGATCTTTTAGATTTACACTTTGATAATGTGAATCCCTTGCGATTGCAAAGTCCACACAGTCAAGCAATATATGCTTAACGGTGAACCTTTCATCACAAGGGATACACTTAGGAGGTTCGTCCTCATCTGTCTTAAGCAGATATTCGTGTGTAAACCGACTGTGGCCAATACGACACCGTCGTAAAACGACCTCGTCATGTCTTGACTGACAACCCAAGTAGGTATGACCGATTGTTGGTTTCAATTCGTGGAGTTTATTGCTTCCTACTTGGGTGTCCCACCTCTTTTGCATAAGATCCCGAGTATAAGATTTGATGGTAGGTTTGAAATCACTGTACGGGATACGAAGTGGAGATAACGGTTTGTCAAGAGCTGCTTTAGCAGCAGCATCGGCTTTTGAGTTACCTGTTATGCCTACATGACTTGGCAACCAGCAAAAGACGATGTCACATTGGCCAGTGGAAAGATCATTATAGAGATCTAAAATGTCAAGGATAATAGGGTGATATGGTGAGACACTTTTAAGTGCCTGAAGGCAAGATAACGAATCAGAGAAGATGATGAAATTTTTAGATTGGTTTTGTTGTTTAATATAGGTCAAAGCTGTTAGGATAGCTTTGGCCTCAGCAGTAAAAATTGAACTAAAATCTGGGATTCTTGAGGAGACAGTTCTGGATCCAACGATGGTGGCACTTGCAACTTTGCCACCATCCTTGGACCCGTCTGTAAAAATTGACCTGTGAGAATTATATTTGGAGCGTAATTGGTTATATGATTGTTGATATACCAAAGGATTGGTAGCCGACTTTTTTAGATTGGTTAGAGTGAGGTCTACTTCTGGCTTCACCATCTGCCAGGGAGGAGAAGACAGAAGACGATGGGGTGATATAATATTTAAGTCTATTTTAGCTGCAGTGATGTGTGGTTGAATTCTGATCCCAAGTGGTGGAACCAATTTTGATAGATTTCGAAACAGGTTTTCATATTGAGGGTGGAAAACACAATTGAACGCTGGATTAGATTTATTTGAGTGCAATTTAGTGATATATTGCAGTGAAAGTTTAATGCGGCGCACTTCGAGTGAAGGTTCGTCGGCCTCCACATACAAACTGTCCACGGGAGAGGTCCTAAAAGCTCCAAGACAAAGTCTTAGGCCTTGATGGTGTATAGTGTCCAATTTTTCTAAATTGCTTTTGCAGGCTCCACCATAGACAATGGAACCATAGTCCAGTTTGGAGCGTATTAATGATCTGTACAAGTGAAGGAGGGTGGTCTGATCCCCTCCCCACTCGGAATTTGAAACGACTTTCAACAAGTCGAGAGCCTTCAGGCACTTTGCCTTGAGATATTTAATGTGTGGTAAGAATGTGAGATGACGGTCAAATATGAGGCCCAGGAATTTGGCCTCCTCTACTACCTTGATAGGAGTACCATCTAAAAATAAATCTGGATCCTTGTGAGGTTTGTATTTACGACAAAAGTGAATACAGTTTGTTTTGGATTTAGAAAATTTGAAGCCGTTTTCGTTTGCCCATTTTTGAATTTTGTTAAGACAGAGCTGTAGCTGTCTTTCTATTGTATTCATATTCTTACCACGACAAGAAATGTTGAAATCGTCCACAAAAAGTGAACCATCAATGCTATTGTTTAATACTTTAGTGAGACTATTTATTTTGATGCTGAAAAGGGTGACTGATAGTATGCTGCCTTGAGGGACGCCCTGATCTTGATCAAAATGATCAGACAGGGTAGAGCCCACTCGTACTTGAAATTGTCTGTTGTTTAAAAATTGAGATATGAACTGAGGTAATCTGCCCCTCAATCCAAATTCATGCAAATCCTTTAAAATACCATGTTTCCACGTTGTATCATATGCTTTCTCTAGATCGAAAAAGATTGATACAGTATGTTGTTTGTTGACAATGGAATTTTTTATAAACGATTCTAAACGCACCAAATGGTCAATGGTACTTCTGTTTTTTCGGAAACCACACTGGATGTCACTCAGGAGGTTATTGGTCTCCAGGTACCAGACTAATCGATTGTTGACCATGCGCTCCATGGTTTTACAAACACAGCTAGTTAATGATATTGGACGGTAGTTGGATGGATCTGTATGATCCCGTCCTGGCTTTGGAATAGGAATAATAATAGCATTGTGCCACGAAGAAGGGAAATTTCCGGTTGTCCATATTTCATCAAATATACTAAGTAACGTTTCCAAACATGAATCGGGCAAGTGTTTCAGGAGCTGATAGTGGATGTTGTCGGCTCCTGCTGCAGTGTCATGAGATTGCCCTAGGGCAGTATATAATTCATGGAGTGAAAATGTTTCATTATAGTCCTCACCATTATCAGAGTTAAAATTGACTTTTTTCATTTCCTGCTGTTTTTGAAACCTCTGAAATTGAGGATTATAGTTTGATGATGAGGAATGATTTGCCAAAGTGTCACCAAGTTTGTTGGCAATTTCGGATTTAGTAGTTAAAAGGGTATTACCATCTTTAAGATGGTGAACTCCAGATTTAGATCCTTTGCCCTTAATCTTTTGAACCATGTTCCACACCTTGGACATAGGTGTTCGGGAATTAATTTTTGAAACATAGTTCCTCCAGGATTCACGTTTATTCTGTTTAAAGGTACGTCTCGCTTTAGCGCCTGTGATTTTAACATTATTCAAATTGTGGACAGTTGGATGTCGTCGGAAATATTTTTCAGCTTTCTTCCTATTTTTTCTAGCTTGTTTACAATTATTATCGAACCATGGTTTACGTATATGAGGGTTTGCAGAGGACTTAGGAATGCTTTCGTCTCCAATAGCATTCAATATATCTGAAAAAAGTTGTATAGGATCAGGAACATTCCTGAAACTTTCGGGTTTTAGTTTTTCAGAACATAGTGTTTGGAATAAAGACCAATCGGCCCTTGTAAAGTTCCACCTTGTTGAAGGTGGTTCGTCAGACGGATTTATAGTTGTAAGTATTGTTGGAAAATGGTCACTTCCACAAAGGTCATCATGGACCGACCATTCGAATTCATTTAAAATGTTTGAATCTGTCAGTGAAAGGTCAAGGGCAGAGTATGTGCCAGTGGCGGGATGAAGATATGTGGTATTACCATCATTGAAGATACATAAATCATTGTTTGAGATAAAATCTTCAAGGACTTTTCCCTTAATATTTATGTCAGTACTCCCCCATAGGGGATTATGACCGTTTAAATCGCCCATGATGATACAGGGCTTCGGGAGCTGATCGTACAAAGTCTGAAGATCTGATTGACGGATAGTTGAGGAAGGTGGAAGATACAGTGAACAGAGTGTAAACACTATGTTCAAAGTAACACGGACAGCAACAGCTTGAAGAGTAGTGTTGAGTGGAACAGGGCTATGGATTATGCTCTGCTTCACCAGGATAGAAGAACCTCCTGTAGCTTTATCACCAGGAGGGGAAAACGAGTGGTAGGAACTGTACTGACGGATATCAAATAAATCTGTGTGTTTCAGATATGTTTCTTGGAGACAAAAAGCTGACGGTTTAAAATCTTGGATCAAAAGTTGAATTTCATTAAAATTCTTCCTAAGACCTCTGCAATTCCATTGTACAATGTGTTGTGGATTCATGATGGGGCTTCCACAGGAGAAATGTCACGCGAACGTGAGGAAGACTTTGTAGTACTCCTATCGGTATCATGTGGAGATGGAGTTACCTCCATGTCCAGAGGACCAAAGGAGTTATGGACCTCTACTGGGACCTCTGAAGGAGAGGTGGCCTTTGGTGTTTGCAGCTGTTTTTGCTGCTTCTTTTTCAATAATTTCTTTTCCCTGTTTGTAAGTTTGGTAATTTCTGGTTCTGGTTCTGTTTCGGGTTCATGTGTTGGTTTAGGAGTCTGAGACTCAACATTTTTTACAGTTTTGTTTTTGGGAGGAGTCACAGACGAGGGTGTCACAGCTGGTTTATGGAGTGAAGCAGTCGGAAGTGGCTGAACAGACTTGACCCATGTGAGATCAGTCTGGCAGTCGATAGAGGCAGTAGTGACAGGAGGATGGGAGACAGCAGCAGAGTAAGAGAGAGTGGAAGTGGTTGAGGGAAGACCCACAACCCTCTTCTTAGCTTCGTGGTACGAGACATTTTGTTCTGTCTTGACTTTAATAATTTGGGACTCGCGTTTCCACACAGGACAGGATTTTGCAGAAGCCATATGGTTCCCACCGCAGTTTGCACACTTCACATCCTTCCTGCAGTCAGTGGCCTCGTGTTTGTCTCCGCAGCGGTAACAAACAGCGGAGGCATGGCAGGACTTGGATCCATGTCCAAACGCTTGGCAGGTGTAGCACCGGAGTGGATTTGGGATATACACCTCCACTCCGATGTTACAATAACCAGCTTTGATAGATTCAGGGATAGTAGTTCGGGCGAAAGTGAAGAGGTAGGTGTTGGTCAGTTGGACCACACCATCCCTCTTTACAGTGAATCGTTTGACAGCTGTGACGGACTGTTGGTCAAGTTCCTTGGCTATATCGTCTTCGGACATGTCGGACAGGCAGCGAGCTCTGTCACGGACAATGCCCTTACACGAGTTCAGTGTTTTGTGCACTGAGACAACAACTTTGATATTGACAAACTCATTTAAATCGAGAAGATTGATAGATTGTTGTCTCCGTGCACATTCTACAAGGAGAGAGCCAGAACGAAGCTTTGTGACATTTGTAACCTCTCCGCAGATACCAATGATACCTTTGGAGATAGCAAATGGATTCAGTTTGATTGGTTCTTTGTCTAAAGCTTCTATAACCAAGAAACGTGGCCAATAATCGGATCGAGTGGGCGTAGTATTTTCAACAGTCTCTATATGTCGTCTTTTTGAACCAGGGTGATGGGAAGCCATGTCGAAAGGAAAATAATTCAGCACCCCTTTTCCCTACCCACCATGGAGTGTCTACAAGGACAGTCTTATGCTGCAGCGGATCTCCAAACTGCAAAGACCGGGGATAAAAGGGTGGTATACTCCAGCAAATTTGACACGAAGAGCTATAGCATTCTACCAAATTAAAGGTCAGGCTGGTTCGGCCCTTGACAATCAATTGGAGAAGTACAGAATTCGGAGGTCAGCATCACCAGATTGGCCCATGAGCCACCGCCTTCTGGGCATAGGGCTCTAAGCAAGTTTTATACATTGATAGATATGATATAGACAGGTGGAATAGATTTATTTTTAAATACCAAAAGTGTGCATGAAATATTTTATGCACAGGGCATGACATGACCAGCCGATTGATAGAATCGGGCCCATTCTACCTCCTGTCTAGGCAAAGTTAGGGTCGAAGTGGTGTGTTGGACTAAGGAGCACTATTGCCGGCTCCGTCGCCCTCAACCACCAGAATCCCTTCCTCTGCCGACACAGGGTCGCAGCCCACGGCAAACAGGCTGCCCACTTTGGTCGCCTTTTACGACCAGCAATGGGGTGCTGAGGACACATTCTTGTTTATCTTCCCCGGGTCCCCACGGGGATTATGCATGTAGTAATGGAAAACTGCTATATCTTATTTCACAGACACCACTTGTATTGGCTTCATATATTTCATTTGTGCATTTAGTATGTTTATGTTTAGCACTATCTTAAATATAATCTGATATATAACCAGCTGTTGTAAAGTTATTACCTGGAGAGGTATTTACATAAGCAAGTTTTGCTTGTTTACCGATCCAGATTTCTTTTGAAATAAAAATATGTTTAAACCATGATTCAAAAGATTAAGGGCAAAGGATCCAAATCTGGAGTTCACCATCTCAGAGACGGTAATACTACTAAATCCGAAATTGCCAACAAACTTGGTGACACTTTGGCAAACCATTCCTCCTCATCAAACTATAATCCTCAATTTCAGAGGTTTCAAAAACAGCAGGAAAAGAAAAAAGTCAATTTTAACTCTGATAATGGTGAGGACTATAATGAAACATTCTCACTCCATGAATTATATACTGCCCTCAATCTCACGACACAGCAGCAGGAGCCGACAACATCTACTATCAGCTCCTGAAACACTTGCCCGATTCATGTTTGGAAACATTACTTTGTATATTTGATTAAATATGGACAACCGGAAATTTCCCTTCTTCGTGGCACAATGCTATTATTATTCCTATTCCAAAGCCAGGACGGGATCATACAGATCCATCCAACTACCCTCCAATATCATTAACTAGCTGTGTTTGTAAAACCATGGAGCGCATGGTCAACAATCGATTAGTCTGGTACCTGGAGACCAATAACCAACCTCCTGAGTGACATCCAGTGTGGTTTCCGAAAAAACAGAAGTACCATTGACCATTTGGTGCATTTAGAATCGTTTATTAACAATTCTATTGTCAACAAACAACACACTGCATCATTCTTTTTCGATCTAGAAAAAGCATATGATACAACGTGGGAATATGGTATTCTAAAAGATTTTCATGAATTTGGATTGAGGGGCAGATTACCTCAGTTCATATCTCAATTTTTAAACAACAGACAATTTCAAGTACGAGCGGTATCTACCCTGTCTGATCGTTTCGATCAAGATCAGGGCGTCCCTCAAGGCAGCATACTATGAGTCACCCTTTTCAGCATCAAAATTAATAGTCTCACTAATGTATTAAACAATAGCGTTGATGGTTCACATTTTGTGGACGATTTCAACATTTCTTGTCGTGGTAAGAATATGAATACAATAGAAAGACAGCTACAGCTCTGTCTTAACAAAATACAAAAATGGGCCAACGAAAATGGCTTCAAATTTTCTAAATCCAAAACACACTGCATTCACTTTTGTCGTAAATACAAACCTCACAAGGATCCAGATTTATTGTTAGATGGTACTCCTATCAAGGTAGTAGAGGAGGCCAAATTCCTGGGCCTCATATTTGACCGTCATCTCACATTTTTACCACACATTGAATATCTTAAGGCAAAGTGCATGAAGGCACTCGACTTGTTAAAAGTCGTTTCAAATTCCGAGTGGGGAGGGGATCAGACCACCCTCCTTCACTTGTACAGATCGTTAATACGCTCCAAACTGGACTATGCTTCCATTGTCTTTGGTGCAGCCTGCAAAAGCAATTTAGAAAAATTGGACACTATACACCATCAAGGCCTAAGACTCTGTCTTGGAGCTTTTAGGATCTCTCCTGTGGAGGCAGATGAACCTTCACTCGAACTGTGCCGAATTAAGCTTTCAATGCAATACATAACTAAATTGCACTCAAATAAATGTAATCCAGCATAAAATTGTGTTTTCCACCCTCAATATGAAAACCTGTTTCAAAATCAATCAAACCTGGTTCCACCACTTGGAATCAGAATTCAACCACACATCACTGCAGCTAAAATAGATTTAAATATCACCTAACCGTCTTCTGTCTTCTCCTCCCTGGCCTCAGTAGACCTCACTCTAACCAATCTAAAAAAGTCGGATACTAATCCTTTGCTATATCAACTATCATTTAATCAATTACGCTCCAAATATAATTCTCACAGGTCAATTTTTACAGACGGGTCCAAGGATGGTGGCAAAGTTGCAAGTGCCACCATCATTGGATCCAGAACTGTCTCCTCAAGAATCCCCGATTTTAGTTCAATTTTTACTGCTGAGGCCAAAGCTTTCCTAACAGCTTTGACCTATATTCAACAACAAAACCAATCTAAAAAAATCATTATCTTCTCTGATTGGTTATCTTGCCTTCAGGCACTGAAAAGTGTCTCATCATATCACCCTATTATCCTTGGCATTTTAGAACTCTATAATGATCTTTCCACTGGCCAATGTGACATCGTCTTTTGCTGGTTACCAAGTCATGTAGGCATAACTCAAAAGCCGATGCTGCAGCTAAAGCAGCTCTTGACAAACCGTTATCTCCACTTCTTATCCAGTACAGTGATTTCAAACCAACCATCAAATCTTATACTCGGAATATCATGCCAAAGAGGTGGGACACCCAAGTAGGAAGCAATAAACTACACGAATTGAAACCAACAAGCGGTCATACTTACTGGGGTTGTCAGTCAAGACATGACGAGATCATTTTACGACAATGTTGTATTGGCCACAGTCGGTTTAGACACGAATATCTGCTTAAGACAAATGAGGACGAACCTCCTAAGTGTATCCCTTGTGATGAAAGGTTCATCGTCAAGCATATATTGCTTGATTGTGTGGACTTTGCAATCGCAAGGGATTCACATTATCAAAGTGTAAATCTAAAAGATCTCTTTTCCCGTGTCAGCGGGCATCTCATCATAAATTATTTGAAAGAAATTGGTCTGTATAATAAATTTTAAATATGTATGTGAATAATGAAATGCTTGTTTTAAAATTTGGTGTGATGCTACTATTAACAAACATTATTGAAGGCTCTGTCCAGGAGGTTAAAGTACCGTAAAAATATTGCCCCCCTGTGTGACAGGTAATCCTATCATAATCAGTGTAACTATCATCAACCAGTGTTTTAAGCCAACTCATTGATGAGTATTTCTTAATATTGGCTAGCATTGTGCACAACCACCAGTGGCTAAAGCGATGACGTAAATTCAGCTGGGGTATCATGCAGGAAGCAGAGGTACTGTAAGTCCCCATGATCCCCAGTGAGTAGGCCTAGCTTTGGTTACTGGTGGCCTATAGCCTGTGTTTTAAAACTGTATATATAATATTGTTATGCTCAAATATGTTTCATGAATTGTTTCTAAATATAGTATGCTCAAATATGTTTTACAACTTGTTTTAAAACAAAACTTTGCATTAATGACTTAATTGTAAATATGTTAACTTGGTCTCGTTGCTATATGGCTGAAATAATGACGAAGTTACGTTAAATTTTAACTCGCTCACTCACTCTTAACCCTTAATCATGTAGCTCTTTTAAAATACCATGCTTCCATGTGGTATCATACGCCTTTTCTAAATAAAAAAAGATTGATACTGCATACTGGTTATTTACAATTGCATTTTTGACAAAAGATTCTAAACGTACCAGATGGTCAATGGTACTTCTGTTTTGATGGACACCACATTGAATGTTGCTTATAAGAGTGTTAGTTTCCAAGTATTGTATTGGCCGATAATTAGATGCATCAGTATGGTCCCTACTAGGTTTAGGTATGGGAACAACTATTGCATTACGCCATGAAGGAGGAAAATTTCCTTACGTCCAGATCTGATCAAATATATGGAGAAGCGTCTCTGAACATGAATCAGGCAAATGCTTCAGGAGCTGATAGTGAATATTATCAGCTCCCGTTGCAGTATCGTGCGCTTCACCTAAAGCAGTATTTAGCTCATGGAGCGAAAATACCTCATTATAATCTTCTCCATTTTGAGAAGTAAAATCAACCCTCTTCTTTTCCTGTTGTTTCTGATATGTTTGAATCTTGGGATCGTACTTCGATGATGAAGAGTGTTTGGCCAGCTTTTCGACCAGTTAATTGGCAATGTCCAATTTATCTGTGAACAGATGAACAGATGATCACCTTCCTTGAGATGATGGACACTCGATTTCGAACCTTTGCCTTTACCTTTTGAAATCATGTTCCACACCTTGGATATTGGTGTGCGAGAATTAATTTTAGAGACATAATTCCTCCAAGACATAAGTTTATTTTGCTTGAAGGTACGGCGTGCCTTGGCACTTGTAATTTTCACATGATTCAAATTATGAACAGTTGGATGTCGGCATAAATATTTCTCAGCCTTTTTCCTTCTCTTCCTAACCTGTTTGCACTCATTATGAAACCGTAGTTTTCGAATCGGTGGATTTGCAGAGGACATTGGAAAACAGCTGAACAGGAGCAGTAACATCCCTGAACACATCAGGCTTCAACTGATCAATACAGAGTTCCTGAAAGGAAGTCCAGTTGGATTTGGTAAAGTTCCACCTTGATGTGGGTGGAACATCAGATGGATTATGTACTGTTAGGATTGAAGAGAAATGATTGCTTCCAAGGAAGTCATCATGGACCGACCACGTAAATTCGTTTAAGAGATTGGAATCTGTTCGTGACAAATTTAAGGCAGAATAGGTTCCAGTTGCAGGATGAATATGTACTTGATCCATCCTTGAAAATGCACAAGTTGCTGTCGGAAATAAAATCTTCCAGGACTTTTCCTTTAGGATTAACGACAACACTTCCCCATAGGTTATGGCCGTTTAAATCACCCATGAACACGCAGGGCCTAGGGAGCTGGTCATATAGTGACTTAAGTTCTGATCGCTGAAGCGCAGAAGAAGGGGAAGTCTATAGAGAGCACAGTGTAAATGTTATGTGCAAAGTCAGGCATACTGTGACAGCTTGGAGATTGGTTTGAGGTTGTTACAGGGCTGTGGATCACACCCTGTCTCACCAAAACAGGCGATCATCCAGTAGCTTCAACACCTGGTGGTGTAAAAGAAAGGTAAGAACCTAACCGACGCAAATCAAAGTTGTCAGTCTGTTTGAGATATGTCTCTTGGAGACAGATTGCCGATGGGTTAAAATCTCGAATTAATAAATGTAATTCATTAACATTACTCCTAAGACCTCTGCAATTCCACTGAATCAGTGGATTCATAATATTTATGTTACTGGTGGATGAACAGGAGATCTACGTCTCCCATTTCGAGGCGACTTACTTCTATTGCACCCATTTGGATGAGTAGAGACATCCATGTCCTCCAAGGTTTGAAACCCCTTATATATTTGTATAGGGTCACGGTGACACTTCGGTACACGATCTGAATTTCTAGAATAATCAACTTTTTTGCTGGCATTTGTAACAATAGGTGATGGTTTTTGTGCTGACGCCACAGCTGCCACTTGTGTTGATGGTGGCGTATCTTCTGTTTGGGAATGAGGACTTGATTGTACCATGGAAAAGTTATCAGTGTTAACCCAAGTAATATCTGTCTGACATTGTACGGAGGTAACTGACTTGGAAGTTATGCGTGTCACAGCTGCTGCGTATGACACAGATGTGGAGGTGGAGACAGTAGACATGACCAAACGCTTCGCTTCAGGGAAGGTTATGTTTCTTTCATGTTTCAATTTGACTATCTGAAGCTGAATTTGGAACTTGGGACATGACTTCGAGGAAGCCGCATGATCTCCAGAACAGTTAGCGCAGTGAGGGGTTTTGCTACATTTATCATCAGTATTGTGGTCACCTTCTCCACATTGATAACAGATCTTTTGATTGTGGCATGATTGTGCCTCATGCCCAAACTGTTGGCATTTGTAGCATCTAAGTGAATTGGGATTATATTTATCCACTTCGATGTTAAAGTAGCCCGCTTTAATAATTCTTGGAGGAGTTGGTTTAGAAAAAGTCGTGAGATAAGTATTTGATTTAATGATTGCTTCATCTCGTTTGTAGGTGAAACATTTGACGTTTGTAACTCCTTGATCTTTCAATTCATCAGCTATTTCAATTTTGGACATGTCAGAGAGATAGGTCTCTATCTCTGTTAATGCCTTTGCTTGAAATTTAGGGTCTTGTGTGGCACAATCAAAACAGGAGTAGAAATCAATGTGTAACAGCTTGTAGTGTTGTTGATTGCTTAGGAGCTTTACATTCAACGAGCAGCAAACCAGAAGGGATTCTTTTAACATCCTGCACATCTCCAACTATGCCACAAAGTGCTTTAAAAATTGCAAATGGGTTCAACTTCAATGGAGTACCATCAGTGGCAGAAACTACTAAAACTCGAGACCAACAAATAGACGAAGTCTTCAGGGTTGCATTCTCCTCATTTGAGGAATCCTCTAATGCACGTTTTTTTTTGCGTGTGCCATGGTTTGTGTATTAACGGTTCATCACCCTTGCCCCCCACCAACAATCGAGTGTCATTAAGACAATGCCGCTTGTAAATAAAGAGAAAAACCTATCTGTCTGTGCCTACTTACCTTTCGAACTGACAGTCATTTTTTTTCTTTTCAGAAGAACTCAAAGGATGAGATTTAACAGACACAGAGTACGAAGCCTGAGATAACACGTCATTGTCTGTATAAACACTCATGTGAATAAAAAGGTAACTCTACAATGCCTTGTTCAGTAAGACACAACGACTGAGATATAGTCGATTACCGAGTGATGTCACAAAGGCCTTGGGCGGCAGTACAGCCTATCCGTCATAGAAGTATGTCACGTCAGCAATTTGAGAATACGGCCTCAGTCTCGAACCACCCACTGTTTAGCCAATACTAACACGGATTTCTGCTAAACCTTGTCTGATGTGAGCTGCAGCAATGTTGTCGGCTGACGCAAAATGTAGGGTTACCGTTAAGTTGGTTTGTTGGTTTGTTGTTTAACACCGCACTCACCAATATTCTAGCTATGTGAAGGCGGTCTGTAAATAATCGAGTCTGGACCAGACAATCAAGTGATTGAAATCATGAGCATCAATCCACGCAATTGGGATCGACGACATGCATCAACCAAGTCAGCGAGCCTGACCACCCGATCCCGTTAGTCGCTTTTTACGACAAGCATAGTCACATTTTACGGCAAACATGGGTTGCTGAAGACCTATTTGAACCCGGAATCTTCACGGGTCGTTACCGTTAACATTCAGGGTAGAATAGGTCTTCAGCAACCCATGCTTGCCGGAGCCGGTGACTATGCTTGTCGGGATCGGATGTTCAGGCTCACTGACTTTGTTGATGAATGTCATCGTATCCCAATTGCGTGGATCGATGTAATTCATTGGTTTGTCTGATTCAGACTCGACTATTCACAGACCGGCGTCATATAACTGTACTATTGCTGAATTCGCCGTTAAAGTCACATAGCTGGACTATTGCTGAATTCGGCGTAAAACAACAAACAAACACACTTACTCATGGATTTAGAAGTAATTTTGATATGAAGCACTTATGAAAGACCTGTACAATGTAACTGACGTTAGGATAAAGCTCAGAGATGACATATATTGTATAATATTTATAGCTTCTGAACTAGAAAACTGTAAATGTCGTCTACTACTCAGGAGTTGGCTGAAATGGTGTTTCAAAGCGGCGATAAACCAACTCACGCTATGCTCCACCTCTACTAAGAGGCGACTAATGGGATCGGGTTGTCAGGCTCGCTGACTTGGTTGATACAGGTCATCGATCCCTATAGCGTGGAGTGATGCTCATGATATCAATCACTGGATTGTCTGGTCCAGACTCGATTATTTACAGACCGCTGACATATAGCTGGAATATTGCTGAGGGGGGGGGGGGGGGGGGGACACAAATCTGGACTTGGTTCATTAAGTGCTTTTGCATTACAGAAAGGGCGGTGCAGAAGGGCAAATAATATGGTTCAGGGACTGTGAGATTGATGTGTGCAACTTCACAGTATAACAATTTATAGTTCTGCTGTGCCAGCGGTTAATTTTCACAAAAAGATGCACATAGACTGGCCACTCCGATGATTGGAATTAACAGTCAGCACTAGGTATGATAATATAAACAATTCCGGCTGCGGGTTCCAAAATCAGACGTAAAGACCTTTGGCCCCAGATCGTAAAGCGTTCTTGTTGCTTCTTTGTGGAACCCACTCACTCTCACACTAAAACCAGGACCAACACTTCACTCCCCCAAGTCAGGGTGTAAAACTTCCAGCACTATTCCCATTGACTCCGCAGATCTGATTGATAAGCCCTTTCAGAGTTAACTGCATGTGATAGTCTTGCAGTTTGTGTGCACTTTGAGCATGCCCTTGCGGTGTGGACAAATAGTGCAACATTCACGGCCTTATAATTGTTATTTTTAACAAAGCCCACAAAAAAACGAAAGAAAGCTAGGAACAATAACAAACAATCATTAAAATATAATTTATTAAACCACAGTGTTTTGAATGTGAAATTATCAATAAAACATACCATGGAAAGTAAGCCTTTGGGACAACTATCACAAACAGTGAATACACAATGCCATTTAGAAAGTGGTCAAATGTAACAAATGTTATATTTGGGATAACACTTTCTTAGTAAAGTGCAGAATCTAGTATTTTTTTGGGTTGAGTCCCGTCCGGGATTCGAACCCACACTTGCCAGAGTGCGGCACCTAATCGCCAGCACAAAAAGTCAGCGATCTTACCCACTCAGCCACCCATACTTCTACAAAAATGAAAGTCCGACAACTAGTAGTCTAGATAACGTACTTTGAGCACCCCTCTGACAAGTGTAAATTGGCACTGCTCCCATGGCCGAAAGCTATGAATACACAATGCCATTTAGAAAGTGGTCAAATGTAACGAATGTTATATTTGGGATAACACTTTCTTAGTAAAGTACAGATTCTAGTACTTTTTTGGGTTGAGTCCCGACCGGGATTCAAACCCATACTAAGAAAATTCCTAAATAACAAAAGGCACCATTTCAGCCCTTTGTTAATACATGTACCTGTAAGCCTTTAACAGTTTTCAAGTTGTGCTCCGGAAACGAAACCTACCCCTCCTTTTGAGACACATAAAAATGCGAAAAAAACGGCAAATATTTTGTTTTCCTTCTTTAAATGTGAAACAGAACACGTAGCACCCTTCCTTTGCTCTAGCAACTCATTTTCCTTGTCCTCTTCTATCAGACTCCCTCAATATTCCAAAAGGTAGTCTTCGCAAATTTCTTTTGGTGAAAACACCAAAGCCAAAGTATGACAATGCAATATAACCTAAAACAAAAAACATTCTGGAATGGCTAATAGATGGTCTAGATTGTATGGATTAAGTCGTTAAACCCGTAACTATCGTTCAGAATGTTAAAGTTAAAGTTTTCGAGGTTGTATGATTAAAAATCACATTCCGACTGTCACTTTCATGATCTGGGAAGTGACGTTCTGATTGGTCGGATGAAAGGTCGTTCTGACGTGACCCCTAATGGGATGTCTTCAGATCTTTGTTTAGCGGTAGCGAGAACTAAGGTCTGGTTTTAATGAGATTGCACACAGACAAATGCTTTCCTATAGACTTCTATAGTAACGTTATATATTTTTTACATAACTGAGCATTCAGCAGCCATTTAATAAATGCACATGTGTGCACAGTTTGGCCATAAAGTAGCACTTAAAACAGAAAGAATTGACTAGCTTAGCCAGATCCTTTTCTGAGTGCAAGAAGCTAAACAAACTACCCCGAGTTCTGCACCAAATGTCACTTGCTTGAAATTATCTGTGGTCACATTCAACGTAAGTCATCATGTTGAAAAACACTAAATATAGAAAAGCATTGTCAGATTGAATTACTGGATGGAAGTACATTACAAAAACCTTGAAATCATCAAATCACAGCTGCCAGACGATTCAAAAAGGCTCTCAATGAAATCTGTTCCCGTGAAGACGCCGGGGTAGAATAGGTCTTCAGCAACCCATACTTGCCGTTATTTTTAAAGGTGACTATGCTTGTCGTAAAAGGCGACTAACGGGATCAGCTGGTCAGGCTCGCTGACTTGGTTGATACATGTCATCGATCCCAATTGCGTGGATCGATGCTCATGATATTAATCACTGGATTGTCTGGTCCAGACGCGATTATTTACAGACCGCCATGTAAGTACTGTACTGTACTGTAAGTCCCCATGGAACCCAGCATTGTGATCTCTCTTCAGTGGCTGGCGATCTATAGCTCGTTTTTATCTTGTATTGTTACGTATGGTGTTATATTTTTATGGCTAATTACTAGTTTTAGATATAATCTGGGATAAATCTACTTATTTACTGTCCATCGTTGACAGGTTTTTTATTTAGTCTAAGTATGTGTATTAATAATGTACTTCTCGTCACGTAATGGCTGTCGATGTGACGTTAAATCGTAACTCACTCACTCATTTCACCCTAAAACATATTTTAAACTGTAAATAATAAACAAAACTTTAAACCTCAGCACCAATAAAAATACATATTTCTAATTCATTAATGTCAGTTGTTTACCTCCCTGTGCTGATATCAACCGATAATAGCAGTGTCTACAACATTCATGGAATATGGTTTTGACAGTCATGACATGATATGATTGAGATTTTTCGAGATTCCTCGAGTTTACATCACTGCATTGTTTCTACTATCAAGCACAAAACGACTGCCCCCATTTAGTAAATCATCTATAGAAGGGCTAACACGAATGCTTATGCTTTCTTTTACTCCCAAAATCAAAAGTAGAAGCACCTATGATAAAACCTGGTGTCATAGGTACACATTGAAAACATTATTCAAAGGGGTGGATTTTTACCACACTGTCTAGCAAAGCCGATAAAGGGCTGTTACCCCCTCAAGTAAAAGAAAACGCTTGAAAACAACACGAAAAAAAATAACACTTTAGTTAAATGATTCATTTACTGAAGACTTTGAAATACTTCCAGAAAATCTAAAACATTTTCTGTTTAATGTTTGTAGGTTGCTTAACATGTCAATTTCAATTATTTGTCAGTTTGAAGGAGACAAAGCAATAATTACACATTACTTAGGTAGTATACAGGTTAACCCGACACAAAAGTTGGTATCTGTATTCACAATTAACAGTGTTTGGCAACACCAGCTTAAAAGAGTATTTTTCTCCAATAACTTATGGGCTTGTAGACAAATCAGAAAACACCTGCACTCGGCAAATCTGTGATATATGTATTGTATATATAGAGTTTGGATTAAACTTCACTACATGTTCCTCCCCAGCATGTCTATATGGCACCAGAATACATAGTTTTGATACATCGAAAGAGTTGTAAGAGTTTAATGATGTATACTCCATCAATGTAGCGGTAGGAGAAAGCGATGTAACGAGATATTCTGAGTGGTATGCACAGAACAAGTGTTTATAGAATTATCTCCCTTAGTAGAAAAAAAACGATTTGTTGTTATGAAAGCACGTGGTAGAGAATTGGGGAAAACTGCGATGTAAATGAAGAGGAACCATGGTGTTCACAGAGTCTACGATGTGTATTTGAGTAACTATATTTGTTGTGTGATGGCTCCCGTATTTGACATGCATCTGAATAAATCCTTGAATTTTGTGTTTACTGCGAGTTGCACGTGCGTGTGCGTTCCTAGCGGGGTACCGCTATAGTGA